GGTAGAATTTACATGCATTTGGAACAGGAAGAAGTGATTAGGGATAGTCAACATAGCTTTGTGTATAGGAAATTGTGTCTAACTATCTTGGTTGAGTTTTTTGAAGAAGTGACAAAGAGGATTGATGAAAGAAGAGTGGTGGACGTGATCAATACGGACTTCTATAAGGTGTTCCACTGTAGACTGGTTAGCAAGGTTAGATCACATCGAATACAGGGAGAACGAGCCATTTGGATACAGAAATGGCTCAAAGGTAGGAAGCAGAGGGTGCTGGTGGAGGGTTGCTTTTCAGACTGGAGGCCTGTGACCTGTGGTGTGCCACAAGGATTGGTGCCAGGTCCACTGCTTTTCATCATTTATATAAGTGATATGGATGTGAACATAGGAGATAGGTTTAGTAAGTTGGCAGTATTGTGGACTGCGAAGAAGGTTACCTCAGAGTACAATGGGATCTTGATCAGATGGACCAATGGGCCAAGGAGTGGCAGATGGGTTTTAATTTGGACAAATCTGAGGTGCTGCATTTTGGAAAGGCAAATCAGGGCGGGAAGGTCCTGGGGAGTGTTGTTGAACCAAGAAACCCTGGGGTCCAGGTTCATGGTTCCTTGAAAGTGGAGTCACAGGTAGATAAGATAGTGAAGAAGGCATTTAGTATGCTTGTCTTTATTGGTCAGCGCGTTGAGTATAGGAGTTGGGAGGCCATGTTGCAACTGTACAGGACATTGATTAAGCCACTTTTGGAATACTGCATGCAATTCTGGTCTCCCTGCTATAGTAAGGGCGTTTTGAAACTTGAAAGGGTTCAGAAAAGATTTACAAGCACGTTGCCAGGGTTAGAGGGTTTGAGCTATAGAGACAGGCTGAGTAGACTGGGGCTATTTTCCCTGGAGCATCGGGGGCTGAGGGGTGACCTTATAGACGTTTATAAAATCTCGAGGGGCATGGATATGGTATATTGACAAGATCTTTTCCCAAGGGTAGGGGAGTCCAAAACTGGACGCATAGGTTTAAGGTGAGAGGAAAAATATTTAAAAGAGACCAAAAGGGGCAACTTATTCACGCAGAGGGTGGTGCATGTATGGAATGAGCTGCCAGAGGAAGTGGTGGAGCCTGGTACAATTACAACATTTAAAAGGAATTTGGATGGGAAAATGAATAAGATTTAGAGGGACATGGGCCAAATGGGACTAGATTTATTTAGGAAATCCAGTCGGTATGGACGAATTGGACCGAAGGGTCTGTTTCCGTACTGTACATCTCTATGACTCTATGTAGCAAGGGTAACGAAGAAGAAATTGGCTAAAGTGAAATGGGTAACCAGTTTAAAAGATAAGACAGTAGAGTACCAGTAGCAAACATGAAGGAAATATATTTTAACACGCAAAAATGATATATTTCATTGAAAAAGAGGCTCTACCAGAAGGATGCACAATCTGTGGCTAACTAAGCAAGTCAAGAATGGTATCAAATTGAAAGAAAAGGGATACAATGCTGCAAAGATTAGTGGTAGGTCAGAAGATTGGGAAAGTTTTGGAAATTAGCTAAGGATGATTTTTAAAAAAAGTTGAAATTGGAAAATAACAGAAAACTAGCAAGAAATATAAAAACAGACAGTTAAAGCTTCCACAAATATCTAATAAGGAAATCAGTCACTAAAGCTACAGGGGAAGGTTGAGGAACTAATAATTAGAAACAGGAAAATAGTAGAGGCTTTGAGCAAGTACTTTGTATCAATCTACTCAGGTGAAAATACAAAAAGGATCGAAGAGCAGAAGACAATCAATAGGCAGAGGGAGGAAAGAATCTAAAATAATACATATCACTGGAAACAAAAGTGTTAGGAAAGCTAATATGAATCTAGACTGACAAGTCCCCTAGAACTGATGGCTGGTATCCTAGGATTTAAAAGAACTGGTTGCAGAGATGGCGGATACATTGGTTTTAATCTTTCAAAATTCTTTAAATTCTAGCAAGGCCCCATCAGATTACATCTCTGCTAAAGAAAGAAGGGACTCAGAAAGCTGCAACATAAAGGACAGTTAGCCAAACGTCTGTCATTGGAAACTGCAAGAGTCCATTATTAAAGAGCAAGTTGGACAGTTAAGAAGTGATCATACCATCAGAGTCAACAGAGTTTTGTGAAAGCAAAATCATGTTTGACAAATTTATTACGGTTCTTTATAGATGTAACAAGTAGGGTGGATAAACAGAAACCAATGTACATCCAAAAGATATTAATAAGATTCCACATACAAGGTTGCTGGACAAGAAAGGACCTTGTGGTGTTCGGGGTGACACTCTAGCGTGGATAAAGGACGGGCTAACTCACAGGAAACAAACAATTGAGATAACTGGGAAATTTTCAAGGTGGTAAACTATAAATAGTGCAGCGTTGCAGGGATCAGTGCATGAATCTCAAATTCTAGCTATCTATATTAATGACTTTAATGATAGATCCAACGGCATTAAAGCAATTTTGCTGACAAGATGATATGAAGGAAAGCAAGTAATGAGGAGGATACATAAAACATGCAAAGAGATACAGATAAGACAAGGAGGGGGCAAACATTTGGCAGATGGTGTTTGATCCCTCAAAACAAGGAAGATATTTAACACAGCGTGGAGCTGGAGGAACACTGCAGGCCAGGCAGCATCAGAGGAGCAGGAAAGTTGACACTTTGGGTCGGGACCCTTCTTCAGAAATGGGAGGAGGGGAAGGGGGCTCAGAATAAAGGGGGGGGGGGGCGTGGTGCTAGCAGGTAGATAGTGGAGCTGATAGGTGAGATAGAAGATGGACAGGTCAAGGAGACGGGGATGAAGCTAGTAAAGGTAGCTAGGTGGTGGTGGGGATTGGTCACTGAGGTGGGAAAGATGATGGACAGGTCAAGGAGGTGGGGATGAGAGGGGGGGCTAGTCTTGGGATGATGTTGGGGGTGGTGAGATTTTAAAAGCTGGTAAAGTCCACATTGAGACCATTGGGTTATAGACTTCCAAGGCGGAATAGGAGGTGCTGTTCCTCCAGTTTCTGGGTAGCATCGTTGTGACACTGAGGAGGCCCAGGATGGACATTTCGTCCAGGGAATGGGAGGGGAGTTGAAGTGGTTCACGACTGGGAGGTGTTGTCGTTTGTCGTGAACCGAGCATAGGTGTTCGGTTTTGTGGTCTCCAAGTCTCTGCTTGGTCTCACCGATGTAGAGGAGGCCACATCAAGAACAGCGGATACAATAAACCATGTTAGTGGATGTGCGGGTGAATATCTTGATTTTTTTTGGGCCTGGGATGGAGGTGAGTGGGGATGTGTAGGGGCAGGTGCAGCACCTCTTGCGGTTGCAGGGAAAGGTACCTAGCGGAGACTGTAGAGCAGACGAGGGAGTCGCAGAGAGACCGGTCCCTCCAGAAGGCAGATAAGGGTGGGGAGGGAAATATATCCTTTGTAGTGGGGTCAGATTGCAGGTGGCGGAAGTGGCAGAGAATGATGCGTTGAATCCGGAGGTTAATGGGGTGATACATGAGGACAAGGGGAATTCTGTTTTCGTCTTTATTGCAGGGAGCGGGTGCGAGGGCTGAGGTGCAAGAAACGCAAGAGATGCGGTTGAGGGCGTTTTCGACCACGGGGGTCGGGGGGGGGGGGGGGGGGTGCGGTTGGGGGCAGGGTGGTTGGGTGGAGGTGCAGTCCTTGAAATACGAGGACATCTGGGATGTTCGGGAGTGCAACGCCTCATCTTGGGAGCAGCTGCGGCGGAGGCAGAGGAATTGAGAGTCGGGGATCACATTTTTGCAGGAAGGTGGGGGAAGAGGAGGTGTCGTCCAGGTAGCTGTGGGAGTCAGATATCAGTTTCGAGGTGGTCACCAGAGATGGAGACAGAGAGGTCCAGGAAGGAGCGAGAGGTAGAAAGAGCTACCTTACACACAGGTGCAGCAGGTAATCAGGAAGGCTTTTGGAACTTTGGCCCTTATTTCAAAGCTTGAAGTACAAAAGTAGGGAAGTCTTACTACAACTGCAGAAGGTGTTGGTAAGACCACATCTAGAGTACTGTGAGCAATTTTGGTCCCTTTATTTAAAAGAAGGTACCATTTCACTGGAGGCAGTTCAGAGAAGATTCATGAGGATAACCCCCAGGACAGAGGCACTCTAATCATGAGGTTAGAAGAATAAGGAGGTGATCTCATTGAAACATAAAGAATTCTTAAAGGGGTTTAACAAGATAAATGCTAGAGGATGTTTCCCCTCATGGGACAGTCTAGGACCAGAAGACATAGTCTCAAAATAAACAGGTAAATAAAGGGATGAAGAGGAATTTCTTCTCTCAGATGGTTGAGTGTTTTTGGAATTGGTTGCCACGAGGCCTGTGCAGGCAGAGACCTTGTGTATATTAAGACTGAGATAGATAGATTCTTGATTAGTAAGGGAATCAAAGGTTACAGGCAAAGTGCAGTAAAATGGACATGAGGAGTGCTGGATCAGCCATGATCCTATTGAATGGTAGAGCAGGCTCAAGGGGTTAAACGGCCTACTCCAGTTCCTATTTCTTATAGTCTTATGGTCTATTTAATATAATGCGTTGCTAACATATAATGCTGTTACACCATAAATCCTTAATTAATGAACAAAAGGAAGTGGAAAAAAGAATGGAATGGTTATGGGACTCCACAGGACATAATATGAACTTTTCGCAGAATTATTGCCAGCCAAACAATTCCAACAATATTAAAAAAAAAATTGATGCAATCACCAAATTCCACCATGATTGGATGGCCAAAACATCTTGTGTTTAGGTCATGACTGAGACTATATTTGGCCATTTATCAAGAACTTTAATATTAAGTGAAAATATTGTTGTCAAATACTACCCAGTGATAGTAGCTTCCACATAAAACTACCAAGATTAATATTGGCAATATGCTATAGAAAACTTATCACTAGCAAAATGACAAACTATATGCAATCCCAGACCATACTTTATGCATGGCTGAAAATACAACACATAGATTTCACTAACCTTAAGGAGAGGTGCAGTGCCAACAATGGCTGCTGCAGTGGCAGCTGCTGTAGTTGTGACAGAATTGAAATGATGATGGATCTCTTTTTCATCACGTGTAAAAGAATCCAAGTCTGTGACAGAAGGTTTGTGCAGTAGCTGTACTTTGACCTTCTTCTCTATTGGACCTTTCTGCATCTTACTGTATTAGGTGGGGAAAATATTGCTTAGATTAGACAAAACGCAGAAAAGCATCCAATCTTATTTTTTGCTTATTCCTGGGGTGAAAATTTTGCTGGCAAGGACAAACCAATTGTCCTTGAAAAGGGAGAATCTCTTGGACCTAATGCTACTGTCCACTATTTTTGCTACCACATAAACAAATCTTTAACATTCAGAAATAAAGATACACAGACATGTAATGGGAATATTTCTGTAACATATTAATCACATTCTACACACGCAAGTCATTATGTCTTGCCAACAGACTAGAACAGCATGTCAGCACTATAACAACGTCATTGACCATTCGCACACACTGAAACAGGAGGTTTGTACAACTGACAACATTGCCACAGCGCAGCACCTCACCTGTCACGCCATTTTCTATTTCTCTACCGGCCCCTTGTCACCACACTTGTTGCCCTCATTGCCACCTGTCACTTCCCATTCCCCGGCCCCTCACCACTCCACAACCTGTTCTACTTATCATTGCCCTTACTGATTCCCCTTAGCATCACACCACTCAGGAAGCTGATTAGTATGTGGGGGTGGCAGGCAAAGGCTCAAGGATTAGAAGTGGGCCATAGGAGGATCCACAAGAGGGGTTGCAAGTGGCAGGTGCACAGGATGGGAAGCAAATGAGACAGTGAGGAGTTGGGAGTGGGGAGTAATCAACCAAAAAGCATTTTTCTTTGATGCAGATTAGCTATCTGTGGCGACAACATTAGCTGTGGCTGCTGGGCAGTATGTTAAAGTGTAGATAATGAACAGTGTGAGCAGATACAAAATAAAAACAAAATAGGCTGAAGAAACTCAGCTGGTCTGGTAGTATCTGTGGAGAGACAAACAATTAATATTTCAAGTTCAATATGTCTCTTCTTCAGGGTTCTGTCTAATTGCATTTAACATTTAACTGTTTTTTATGGTATGAATGAAGTAAACACAAATTCCTTCTAGCCTTTGGCAAAATTAACAAACTCTTCCAGAGAGCAACTAATGAGACAGGTCACTAACCAGTCCAAGCTGGTTGCTGTAGCTTCAACTTGAAAAGAACATAAATACATAGGTCTGGGGACAGCTTGCAAATGAAGTGCAGACTGTAGGCACAATGAGCAGTTGGGTGTTTGGCGAGTGGGGAATTCACTGAAGAAAGGAAAGCAGCCTTCCTTTCTTCTATGTTTTGCACTCTCCAGTATTTGATTTTTACTTTGGTGCAGATAAGCTGTATTCTCTTTTCGTTTAATCCATTTGTAAAGCTAAGGTATGGCAGGACAGACCAGCTGAACGGAATGCATATACCACAGTGTGGGAAGTCATGATGCACCACATGTCCTCGACAAACATATCTGTAGGAAGTGTTACCAGCTGCACAAGCTGGAGCTCCATGTTTCCAAACTCGAGCAGGGGCTGGAGATACATATACTAGATGGAGAATGGCAAAGAAAGCGTGTTTCAACAGGTGATGACACAGAAGCTTAGTAATATGCTGGCAAGTAAAAATTGGATGACCACCGGACAGTCTAAGAGAACCAGGTAGGTAGTGCAGAAGATCGGAGTCAATCTCGGTAAGTAGTCTGTTTTTTGTTTTGCATGCTCATGAGGGCAATGGTTCCTCAGTGTAAAGGTTAAATCTGTGGCACTATGGGTGATTCAAACGGACAGTTGTGGAAAAGAAGATCAGTAGTATTAGGGTATTCATTAGTTAGGGGGAAAGACAGGTGTCTCTGTTGCTGGGGAAATGATGCCTGGATGGTACTTTGCCTCCATGCTACCTGGCCAAGGATGTAACAGAGTGGCTACAGGACATTCTTCTGGGGGAGGTTGAACAACTGGCAGTCAATGATCCACACTAGTATCAATGCCTTAGGTAGGAAAGGTATCAGGACTTGAAAGCAGATTTTAGGGAGAAGGTTAGAAAGCAGGGCCTCAAAGGCAATAATCTCAGAATTATTCCAAGTCCCATTTGCAAGTAAACATCAGAAATATTAGACTTAATTGATGGAATAGGTGACTACAGAACTGGAATACAAGGGAGGTCATTAGATTTCTGAGACATTGGGATCAGTTTGGAGTCAGTTTGGGCCTTTACAAAATGTATCTCCAGACCCTGCTCGATTTTGGAGCTCAAGCTTGTGCAGTTGCTAACGCTTCCTACAGCAATGTTTGTCGAGGACACGTGGTGCATCATAACTTTCCACAGCACAGGTTATACATTCCATTCAGCTGATCTGAACTGCTATGCCTTAGTATTACAAATGAACCAAACAAAAACAGAAGAGCAGGCGGGAAAACACACCGGCACTTCATCGGAGGCTGCACTGATGATGTTACTCAGCAGGGTAATGAAACGTCTGCGGAGCAACAAACCAGCTCGGCAATCCAACCAACCTCAAAACAGAAGACAGCTTATCTGTACCAAAGTAGAAATCAAACACTAGAGAGAGCAAAACGTAGAAGAAGGGAAGGCTGCTTTCCTTTCTTCACTGAACAGGTTGCATCTTAATGTGACCTGGACTAATCCTCACAGGGAGATTTGCTAGTGCTATTGGGGAGGGTTTAAACCAGACTGACAATAGGATAGAAACCTGAGGAACCTTATAGAGGTGAAAAGCAAAGCTGATAAATGGAAGTAGAAAAGTAGTAAGCAAAACTAGAAGATAGACAATACAAAAGCAAGCATCAAATAAGATCAGAATTCAGATTAATAATAAAATTATCAGAAGTAAAAGCACTTATTCGAATTCATGCAGCATTTGGATAAAGATTGATGATTTGAAGGCACAAATTGAGATTCTTGTTTATGATTGAATTGTCACTACAGAGTGAATAATGGATACGGTGTATCCAAGAATATTCATCATTTAAGAAGAATAAACAAAAAGAAAAAGAAGACGAGTTGCACTCTTACTAAGAGGCAAGATGAACATGTTAAGAAAGAGGATCCTGGATCAAAAGATCAAGATGTAGAATCAGTTTGGGTGGAGCTAAGAAACAGCAGGGGTCAGCAAATATTGGTGAGAATTGTTCATGGGCCACCAAACAATAATAGCAATGTTGGGCATAGTATCACTCGGGAAATCAGATGCACGTAATGTGGGTAATGCAATAATAATAGGCAACTTCAAATTTACACACAGTCTGGGTAGACCTCATCAGCACAAAAGCCACAGAAGATGAATTCCTGCAGTGTGCACCAGCCAGATTTCTGGAGCAATTTATTTAAAAACAAATTAGGAATAAGGCTACTTTAATTTGTGGTAAAGAAGCCTTCGGAAAATAATGACTACAATATGATAGAATTTCACAATAAGTTTGAACGTGATATTCTTCATTCTGAAAATAGGGTCTTAAATTTGAACAAAAGAAATTATGAAGATATGAGATGCAAATTGACAATGGTGGATTGGGAAAATGTACAAAATGACTTCAGAGGAGGAGTAAACGGTGCACAAAAAATATACATGCCTCTAAAGCAAACACCCAGACAGAAACGCATAGAAACAAAACTGGCAAAAAAAGTTAAAGATTAGTTGTGGTCAAAGGAAATAATTTAGAAGGATGCCAGAAAAAGTAGTAAGACTGAGGAATGGGAGCAGTTTGAAACCCAGCAAAGAAATTGGATAAAGAAAGGGAAAAGAGAATGTGACTGCAGGCAAACCAAAAAACGCTAGATTTAAGAAGTGTAAGAGCTTCTTGAGCTATGCATAAAGACAGGTATTGCTGGAACAAATGTGGGCCATTTATAGATGGAGACAAGAGCATTTACAGTGGCGAACATGGAAACTAAATAACTAGTTTGCATCTGTCTCATGGAAGAAGATGTAGAAAATCTCCCAGAAATAGTAGGCAATGAGTGAAACTGAGGAACTGAAAGAAATTAGCATTAGTAAAGAACTTGAAAAGTTAACACGATTGAAGACCAATAAATTCAGTGTACCAGGTGAGCTATATCTCAGAATACTAAAGGACATGAGTAGAAAGATAGCAGATGCACAAGTGGTTATCTTTCAAAATTCCACAGATTCTGGGAGGCTCCCTGCAGACTGCAAATTGGCAAATATAACTCTGCCATTTGAGAAGGGGCAGGGGAAAAGGGAGAATGAAGAACTACAGAGCTGTTAAGCTGACGTCTATAGTGGGGAAAACATCATATTTTATCATAAATGATGTGATAACTGGATGCTTATAGTAGCTTTGGGCAGAATCAAAATTGATCCATGAAAGGGAAATTATGTTTGACAAACCTGTTGTTTTTTCAGAATGTCATTAGAAGCATGGATCAAGGACCTGATGTAGTGTACATAGATTTTCTAAAGCCTTGTAATAAAAAGGTCTGAGTAAAGTGGTCAGTAAACACAATTAGAAAATATAGATTTGGGGATAACATAGATTGAGAACTGGTTAACAGACAAAAAGCAGAGCGTAGCAATAAACAGGTCATTCTCAGGATGACAGGCTGTTAGTATTGAAGCACCACAAGGATCAGTGCTAGGCCCACAGTTCCTCATAATCCACATAAATGATTTCGATGTGTGAACCAATTGTAATATTTCAGGTGGGAGTACAAGGTAATGAGAAAATTGTAAGGAGGCTTCAAGGGGACTTGGGCAAGACAGGCAATGGGCAAGAACATGGCAGATGGAATTTAATGTGACTAAGAGGCAATGGCCTAGTGGTATCATTACTGGAATGTTAATCCAGAGACCCAGGTAATGTTCTGGGGACCTGGGTTCAAATCCTGACACGGCAGCTGGTGGAATTTGAATTGAATAAATATCTGTAATTAACAGTATAATGATGACCATGAATCCATTGCCAGTTGTCGGAAAAACCCATCTGGTTCACTAATGTCCTTTAGGAAAGGAAACTGTCATCCTTACCTGATCTGACCTACATGTGATTTCAGACCTATAGCTACGTGGTTGACTCATATCTGCCCTCTGGGCAATTAGGAGAGGGCAATAAATACTGGCCTAGCCAGCGACACCTTCATCCCATGAATGAATAAAGAGAAAAAGAATGAAATTACTCTCTTTGGTAGAATAAAAACAGAAAGGCAGAATGTACTTTAAATAGTGAAAGGTTGAGAAGTATTAGCATCTGGATGTTCTTGTTCATGAATCGTAAAAACTAGCATCAGGTGCAATAATCAATAAGGGAAGATAATTAGAAAGTTCAGAAAATAGAATCTCAGTTATAAATATTAAGTTAATATTCCTCAGAGCCTACTGGAAGCGATTTGCATTGACTGGAGTCAAGCAAACCAAACAAGATACAATACCATATGCCTGTGTTACTACATCTCATTTACTTTCTTTCAATTCATCCCTTAAATATGTCTGTCTGCCTGTTTATGAGAGAGTGGGGACTGGAATCAAAGAAGATTGGGTTTAAATCATAGACATTAATTAGATTACCTTCTGATGAAGAGTCATTGGACCTGAAACATCAACTCTAGTTTTTCTCCACAGATGCTATCAGACCCGAGTTTCTCCACAATTTCAGTCGTTGTTTCAGATTTCCAGCATCCACAGTACTTTGTTTTATTTTATTAGATTACCTTGTTTAACATTTTTCTGTAAATACTACAGTATTATTAATAAATTATTAATTATTTTGTTTAAGCCATCAACTTAGTGTCTGATTTGTTATTCAAGAAGGCTGGTTAAGAATCATTTGCGCAATTTTGAGGGTCATTGAGTATTAAATTTTACTGTTCATGAATGCAGAAAGGGTGAGGCTAATTTGATTTAACTGACTCCATGTTGTAACAATACAGTCAAGTACAGTAAATCAGCACATCCAAAGCTAAGAAAAACAATTTATCTTCCCTCAAAAGTTATTTCATATTTTTTCCTTGTACCAAAAAGTACAATTGACATTTCTGAGCATGGATTTGGCTGAAGATGAAATTATCTATTGATTTCTGTTTATTCCACTCCGAAACGGTACCACAAGATATTAAAATGGGTGCCTAGCAACGTACCTCTTGACAATAGCTTTCTTTGCTTCTTTCTGTCCTTTGGTATACTGGGAAATCAAAACATCGTTTCCTACATAATGAGAATTCAGATTACAGTTTGACTATTGCAAGTCACATAAGCATAATAACTCCTAGATAACCATAGCTGCCTTTAGATAGATCATCTTTCTATTGTGCTTGTGTCCACTAACTTGGATTTTTGAGAAATGGAAGAGATCCTCCCTCTACTTATCTACATACTTCTGCAAAGAAAGCTGTGGAGAATACTTACCATTTTTAACCTCCATCATTTAATTAGACCCGTTCCTAACATCCCAATGCCTACTATTCTCTATCAATGTTGAGAGATAACTTACAAGCAGAACTCTGAAATTACAAAGTTAGAAATGCATGACATCAGTCACATATTCTAATTTGTTCCTTTCACTGTCAAGAAAAACTCTTGCATCCTACCAGCTGAAATTAGAAAGTAGTAGTCTCATTCAGATGAAATTAGGAAATATCAATCTGGATTTACATCCCTGATCTGGACATATTTGGGTGGGGTGGGGGTTGGGAGATGAGGAGATGGAAGGTTTGGGGAGTGGGGTCAGTGTCAGGTTCAAGGGTTCAGGCCAGTGTCTATAGGGTAGGCAATGTCTGGTTTGGAGGAGTCAGGCTGGTGGCTATAAGTCTGAGGGTTCAAGATGACATCCAAGGAAAGGGAACTGGTCAGAGAGAGGTGATTAACAGGGATCTGAGACATATAGGGGGTAAGGGGAGTTCTAGGTGTCCACCTATTTTGAGAGACAAAGAACATATGCACACTCTACACTTGCTTTAACTTAACAAAACAGGTGACAGCTGGTTCATTTCCCAGGGCAATGCCCTTACCAGAGCCAACCTGCATGGTTTAAAATTTTACACAAAGCTAGGCAGCTAACTGTCAGTTATCATGAACTAATGCATTCTCCCTGGCAACATCATCACCAGAGTTCACCTGTCAACCAATCAACACTCCCCTCTTCCACATTATAAATGTGGTTTTCTATTATGAGCTGTCCTAATGCATACAAGACAAAAAGCTTTGACAAAATGTATATTTTATCCAGCAATACTCAAAGTCTGTACAAGCAAATAACTATATGAATGGGTAACATTATGGCAGATGAAATTCAATTTGGCTAGTGTGAGATTAATTTCTTTGTACACAGGCCAGACAGATCAGCAAATTTTCCAAATGCTGTAAAGATAAGAACTGGAGGAACAGATACATTTACAGAAATAACTAAAAAAAAATGCATAGGTACAAAAAAAAATTTGCATGAAATTCTGGTCTTTCTGATAAGGGAACTCAAAAATAAAAAGGTGTGCTACAGTGATTTAAGCTCTGGTTAGGCTGCATCTGGAGTACTACATTCAATTCTGGACACCACACCGCAGGAAATACATAATGGCTTTGAGGGAACATAGAGTAGATTGACAGAACAATACTTGCAGTGAAAGGGCAAAATCAGGGGACAGATTGCACAGTCTAGGCACTCATCAGGACAATTCATAATGATACTAATGTAAAGGGAAAACAACATTTACACTGTGGTAGAGTGTTGTTTGGTGGCAAGTGAACTCCGAGGGAATCCAATATAAGGGAGCATAATCTTAAGAGTTAGCATCCAGCTGTTAATTAGAGAGCCAGCGTTTCAGCTGGGCCAACAGCACCACTGGAAACAGTTGGCATTGCTGAGACTGCACATGGGAAAACAGACACAATGTAAGACCCAGTGAAATGGGTTTTGAGGTTATCAGAGCCATCCAGGCAGGCCAGGCAAGAGCTTGGTAGAAAGAGGGAGGTTGGTGAGGGAAAGCACAGCCACAGCTAAAGTGGCACCCGTTATCTATGGAGAACTCCTCTTTGAGCCAAAAAGTGCCCAGAATAGTGGTTTCCCCACACAGGGGGAAACACATCACTGCTTGGATTATATTAATGCCATCAGGATAAGAGCTTTAATTGGCCTCTGGGCAGGAGACATCCACACCTCCATGCCACCAGCAAGATGGCATGGCAGTGGGAAGACATCAAGCACTCCAACTCTCATTTTCCCTCATTATTTCACAGGCCCAACCACCGTCAAACTTGTCTTCCAGTAAAATTAAGTCCAACTCTTCAATAACAGGACATTTGAAATATTGTCCCCTAAAAATACTGCTGATACTAGCTCAACTGAAAATTACAAAAGTGAGATTGATAAATTTTAGTTCGGCAAGATATTAAAGGTTAAAACTGAGTGATTGGTAAACAAAATATATATACAAATCGGTCACTAAATAACTGAATGAGAAAAAAAGTTCAAGGGGCTGAATAATCTACTCTGTTCCTACGCTTCTAGTTTCAAAATTAAATCAAATGTTGCTCTGCAGCCACTATCATATTTAAAGCAAAAAATTCATCTAATATAACAGAAATTAAGTTTATCAGCTGCTCTTAAAATTGCATTTCTAGTGAGATATGCATGAAGCAACATTCATACCAATCACAAGTGAACTCTCAGGGTGTGCTTTTTGCTCTCTTAACTGAAAGAGGACACTAGTGAGACACACATTTTAAACTGGATTATTGTACACATTGAATCTATTCCGCATATATATATATTCTCATAACATGCCAAAAACCAATGAGGAAGTGTCTGTGCTTGGTCATACCTTCGTGTCTGCTGCCATCTCCTGGCTCTGTTGGAACATGTCCTGCAGTTACTTGCTCGCGATTTGAATTTGAATGCTGCTTTTTATTAAATATAAAATCAATCAGTAAATTTTATAAAATATTTAAAAGACTCACAGCAAACCCACAAAATTGGAATCAAGAAAAATGTTCAAAACAAATTGCTAACTTGCTCTTTCTCATTCCTTGAGAACATTTCTTCCATAAGTTTCAACAGGGACTAAAAGTACTTAATTGGATGTAAAATAAAATGGTCAGTATGACCCAAGGTGAGTTTGCAATAAAAATCCAAGTCTTTCTCTTTAAGTGGGAAACTTTTTTTTGTATTGGTAAATCGTTGTGACAGACCAGGTGCACAACAGTCAACAGGAAGGAACAGACAACAGTCAAAAGTTGTGGTATATATTGAAGTAACGACTTAGAAAGGAAAACAGGTCCTCCGGTCAAACTTTCAAGAAAGAGGTTAAACAACAGGACCACAAAAGATTGCATTCTCAGGATTATTCAGTGGCAGAGTTTTTGAGATTAGGTGCAGTACAAACTGATGGCACAAATGAGGTAATCTGATATGATCTCATAGCCATTACAAATACATGGTTACAAGGAGATCAAAACTAGAAGCTTAACATTCAGGGACATTTGACCTTTCAGAAAGACAGAATGGAAGGAAAAGGTAGTGGGGTAGCACTATTAATAAGGGATGAAATGAGGACAGCTGTGACAGATGATCCAGGCTTAGATGATATACAGTCTATTTGGATGGAAGTAAGTAAGTAACAGTTAGGAAAAGAAAACACTGGTAGAAGTAGTGGTGTATGGAATTTCAAGAAGCAGCCACAGGAAATGGTATAAATCAACAAATAATAGGAGCATGTAAAAAGGGGGTAATAATTATGGATTAATTTAATTTTCAGGTTTATTGGGTCAATCAAGTTGGAAAGATAGCTATGACCACAAATTCAGACACTGCATTAAATATAGTTTCCCAGACGGATGGGTCACAGAGCCAACCAGGGAACAGACCGAGTTGGATCTGGTAATGGGTAATGAGACAGGTTTAATAAATGATCTCAGAGTGAAAGATCCCCTAGGAAGTGGCGATCATGATAGAATTTAACATTGAGTTTGAGAACGAGAAACTTGGGTCCAAAACAACTATGCTTAACTTAAACAAAGGGAATTACAATGAAATGAGGATAGAGTTAGCTAACGTGTACTGGGTAGATAGATTACCAGGTAAGAGCAGTTAGCAAGCAGCGGTAGACCTTTAAGGAGACAATTCATAGCTGTCGGCAAAAATATATATTACCAACCATGGCTTACCAAACAAGTTAAAGAGTGTATGAAGTTGAAAGAAAAAGCATATAAGGAGGCTAAAGTCAGTGACAGCCCCAGAGACTAACGTAAATTCAGTATCCAGTAGAGAGGATCAAAATAGAGAGAAGATAAATTACCAGGGCAAATTAGCAAGGAATATAAAAACTGACAATAAGAGCTTCTTCAACTATATAAACAGGAAGTTAGAGGTCAAAGGGACATAGGCTTCTTAGAAAATGAATCTGGGGAGATGATTATGGGGAACAAGGAAAAATGGAAAAGGAGTTAAACAGAGATAGTAGGAACTGCCGATGCTGGAGAATCTGAGATAACAAGGTGTAGAGCTGGATGAACACAGCAGGCCAAGCAGCATCAGAGGAGCAGGAAAGCTGACGTTTCGGGTCGAGACCCTTCTTCAGAAATGGGGGAGGGGAAAGGGGATTCTGAAATACATAGGGAGAGGGGGGAGGCGGATAGAAGATGGATAAAGGAGAAGATAGGTGGAGAGGAGACAGACAGGTCAAAGAGGTGGGGTTGGAGCCAGTAAAGGTGAATGTAGGTGGGGAGTTAGGGAGGGGATAGGTCGGTCCAGGGAGGATGGACACGTCAAGGAGGCGGGATGAGGTTAGTGGGTAGGAGATGGGGGTGGGGTTTGAGGTGGGAGGAATGGTTAGGGAGGCGGGGACAAGCTGGGCTGGTTTTGGGATGTGGTCGGGGGAGGGGAGATTTTGAAGCTTGTGAAGTCCACATTGATACCCTTGGGTTGCAGGGTTCCCAAGCGAAATAGGAGATGCTGTTCCTGCAGCTTTCGGATGGCATCATTGTGGCAATGCAGGATGCCCAAGATGAACATGTCGTCCAAGGAGTGGGAGGGGGAGCTGAAATGGTTCACGACTGGGAGGTGTAGTTGTTTGTTGCGAACCGAAAGGCGTTAAACAGATATTTAGCATCCATCTTTACAGAGAAAAATACCAGATATACCATTAATACTTAAGAATACGGGGAGGAATTAGGCACGATCGCCACACTAAAGATGCATTTTTAAACATACTCATGGGGATAAACACAGATAAGATCCTTGGCCCTAATGGCTTGAACACTAGGATCCCATTTAAAGTAGCTAGAGATAGTAGATGCATTGATTGTAATTTTCAAAAAAATCTTGGAATCCAGAGAAGTAACAGAGAATTTGAAAATATCAATGTGACACCCTGATTCAAAATGGGAGGGAGGCAAAAAGTGGGTAACTATTGGCTGGTTGGCTTAACATTAATTGTTGGAAATATGTTGGAAGCAATTATTAAATTGGAGGGTTTGAGCTATAGGAAGAGGCTGAATAGGCTGAGGTTATATTCCCTGGAGCGTCAGAGGCTGAGGGGTGACCTTTACAGATGATTATAAAATCATGAGGAGTATGGATCGGATGATTATCCAAAGTCTTTTCCCACCCAGGGTGGGTGAGTTTAAAACTAGAGGGCATAGGTTTAAGGCGAGAAGGAAAAGATTTAAAAAGGGACCTAAGGGGCAACTTGTACACACAGAGGGTGGTGCGCTTATGGAATAAGCTGCTAGAGGAAGTGGTGGATGCTGGTACGCTTATAGCATTTAAAAGGCATCTGGATGGGTATATGAATAGGGTTTGGAGGGATTTGGGCCAAATGCTGACAAATGGGAATACAGTTATTTATGATATCTGGTCAGCATTGACAAGTTGGACAGAAGGGTCTGTTTCCCTGCTGTATATCTCTATGACTCTATGTGGAACAATGTGGCAACAAACCCAACAGTGGAAAGTCCTCTTTGGTAATAAATTTGTGGAAGAAACTATGCAGTATTAGACAAAATGTTTCACAAAATCTTAGTGGACCAACCAAGTTGTATACTTACACCTGCCCTGATATGCATAGTCCATGCAGAAATGACCAGGAGCTAAACTCCATGTCACTGAGTTTTTGGGGGATATCCAAAAGTTTCTTCAAAAATAAATGATCAATCCCATTGGCTTAGAAAAAGATTACGATTTGCTCTACCATTTTCTGAGCACTTGAATGCCCTGTATGCAGGAAGTAGGGCTGATATTTGAAAGGAATTTCAATGAGCCTTCTGGCATCACGCAAAACCGTCGGGAAGGATTTTTATCTGGAGGCATGGTAAATTAGAAAAGAGAAGGGCAGAAAGACTGAAAATGCAGAAACAGAAGTAGGCTTCTTTACAGCAAGGTCATTAATTAGCCCTTTCTCATTACACAACACTAAATCTGAAATAGCCTGAATCCTAGGTGGCTCCTCAATGCACTGCTCCAGAAGCTCAGCTGTTGTACATTGTGGGAATTTATCTGCCACTGCATTTATGCTGATTTAACGAACTAGTCTATGTTTAATTTGAAGTTGTATGTTATTGCTGTATTACCCATGTTACATGCATTTCCGATTTGTTGATTTACATTGTGCTCAACATTACTGGACCATAAGACATAGAAGCAGAATTAAGCTATTTGGCTTATCGTGTCTGTTCTGCCATTCGATCATGGCTGATGGGTTTCTCAATTTCTTCCTCCTGCCTTGATTCCCTTACTAATTAAGAACCTATCCATCTCTATCTTAAATACATTCAATGACTTAGCCTCCACAGCCCTCTGTAGCAGCGAGTTCCACGGATTAACCACTCGCTGGCTGAAGAAATTCCTCCTCATCTCAGTTCTAAAGTGTCATCCCCTCACTCTGACGCTGTGTCCTCAGGTTCTAGCCTCTCCTACCAGTGGAAGCATCTTCTCTGTCCATTCTATCTTAGCATTCTATAAATTTCAATGAGATTCCCCCCTCATCCTTCTAAATTCCATTGAATACAGACCCAGAGTTGTCAATTGCTCCTCATAAGACAAGCCCTTCAACCCCGGAATCATTGTTGTCAATCTCCTCGGGACCCCTGACAATGCCAGCACACCTTAGACACAGAGCCCAAAATATCTTACAATATTCCAAATGCAGTCTGACCAGAGCCTTATACAGCCTCAGCAGTACATTTCTGCTCTTGTAGTCTCACCCTCTTGAAATGAATGTGAACACTGCATTTGCTTTCCTAAGTACCAACTGAACCTGTATGTTAACCTCAAGAGAATCCTGAGCTAAGACTCAAGTCCCTTTGTCTTTCAAATTTATAAAGGTTTTCCCCATTTAGAAAGTAGTCTATGCCTCTATTCTTCCGAACAAAGTGAATAACCTCAACTTTCCCACGTTGTATTTCATCTGCCACTTCTTTGCCCTCTCTTCTAGCCTGTCCAAGTCTTTCTGTGGTCTCCCTGCTTCCTCAACACTACCTGTTCCTTCATCTATCTTTGTGTCATCTGCAAACATAACAACAATGTCCTCAGTTTCTTTGTCCAGATGAATAGTTGTGGTCCCAACATGTACCCCTGCAGAACTCCACTCTTAACTGGCTGCCATCATGGTAAAGACCCCTTTATCCCTACTCTCTACCCTCTGCCAATCAACAAATCCTCTATCTGTGCTATACCTTGCCCCTAAATATGTGGGTTTTTACTTATTTGGCAACATCTTGTCAGAGGCCTTTTGGAAATCCAAATAGATCACATCCACTGGCTCTTCTTTGTCTAACTTGCTCGTTGCATCCTCATAGAATTCTTTCAGATTTGTCAGGCATGACCTCGTCTTTGTGAAACCTTGCTAACTCAGCTCTATTTCATGATACACTTTCAAGTACTCCTCAATCTCATCCTTATAATG